GCCTACAATGATTTGTGAAAAGGTTTCAGTTCATTCTGGATCCTACTGTGCATCTTTCTCGCTAGAGTGCTCGATTAGGGTGGTACGTATTTGAGTTATTCAACCCTCCCCAAACCTCTTCATTGGATCGTGCACGGTGGTAAGGGACGCTCCTTCCCTTTGGGCCATCTTCGGAACAAGTCAAATAACCATTTTATTCCGTCGATCCCCTTTATAGCGCTCATTTCCCTTCGCATTTTGAGTGCACCTTCTCTTATCAAAGAATGAATCATCCAAGGGTTTTGTTAGTGTTCTCTCGAGCTGTTTATTGCTATTGATGATTGACGTGATTGATTCATATTTCGTGCCGTCTTCACAGGCTTTAATATTAATTTTATCGATATTTCTATCGAAATTTCAGTACAAGAACTTTACTGCCCTTAAGAGACAACCTAACTCATCGAATGTTCAATGCGAATGACCCGACATCGAGCACGCCGTCAGTGATCTTGCTTCTGACATTGAAAGCAAAGTATGTTTAACTGGCTGAGTAAATCTTTTTGAAATCATATTTGTTCGGGTCTTCGTTATTATGTTTGTTATTTATTATACATTTATACTGGTTTGTTTTCGATGCTCGCTTACCTTTGCGCTTGCTGCTCAATATTTTTTTTTGTCTTGAGCTTGGTAAATTTTTTTCAGATGTTCTTATAGATGTCCTTGGACTCACAGAAAAAAATGTTATTTGTTTATCCGATCCACAAATAAGTTTCGTTTAGGAAGCTTCTCGACAAGGATGTGTTCTCGAAAAGCGATCCGATGTGCGTTGTGTCGCAGTATGTCGGGCGACTTACTGGTAGGTATTCCCTCATTGTTTCAACCGACGTTCAGCCATTCTGTTAATCACCTTCTCAAACCCTCGAAATCACATGGCGCGCTAATTCTGTGGGATAGTTTTGCGCTCTGCCCGTAAAATTCTCATTGGGTGACCTCATCTCGTGGCGGTATTTCCTTATCTTGAAACGGATCAATGCGACTCTCATGAGGGTTGAGTGAAAACCTCCCACGTGAGCAGTGAATTCTGTGAATTTGAAAGTTCTTAGCATAGCGGCATTATTTGGACCGAGCTAGGAGGGGCAGGAATTTTGGCAAAATGAACATTGCCTACGCACCTGGGACTAGAGTC